GCGCAGGAGAGGAAGGCCCTCTATGAGGTGAACTGATTCAGTGACTGGAATAATCGGGATGGGAGTGTCAGAGGTAGTGCGATTGGCACAGGACAGAGTAGGGTTTAGGGTTGTTGTACATAGGGTCACTATGAGTCGCAAGCGACTTGACGGCACATAACAACAACAACAAGTGTTTATGATTTGTATTTTCTGTCCTCAGGAATGCTTCCTCCAAATCCTCCCAATGCTTGAGGACAGCAACACCATCCCAGGATGGGAGCAACTGATGCTGGCCCAGTGGTCACCTTCCGTGTGAAGGGATGAAGACAGAAATATGGGCGGACTTCTCCTCTGCAGACAGTTAAGCAGCAGAGCAAGACTTGAGAACCCAGGTCTCTTGGCTCATATGCCAGTGCTCTTTCTAAATAAATCAGAGGTTTCTCAGCAAACACCTTTATAGCTAACCTGTTATGCAATTGTTAGGTGCAGCTCAGTCGATTACGACTCTTGGTGATGCTATGAACGGCTCTGAACCTGCCCTATACTGTGCCAGCCTCATCATCTCTGACACACATGGTTACACACACTGTCAATCTATCTCACTGGTCTTCCTCTCTTTCACCTGATACAGTGGCCCAGGGAATTTAAAGGCATACCAAATGTCTATATAATTCCCAATTCACTAGAAAATGTAGTAGTGTGGGTGATCCTGTGAAAGACCATCGCCCTTTGGAAACTTCCATGGATGGTGAGAGACAAGAGGTTATCTTCTTTAAGGCACGGAGCCACGTTACCCCGGAACTGCTTTGGAAATACTGCTACCTTGTCTGCTCCTGAACGCTGTGAATATTCCACAGGACACATGAGTCATCCATCACGACGATGAAAGGCCAGACGCACTGACGTTTTACTCCCAGCTCCTCGAGGCGGTTCCGTTCCAGCTCTAGGTTGTGATAGGACAGCTCCTTGATGAGGAACCTGGCAGCTCCTGGAAGGGAAGAGAACCTGGGCTGCACATCCTGTGTCTCAGGCCGGGCCCAGTCCTGCCAACCGCTCACATGTTCTCCAGGGAGAAGCTTGTTCCGGGAGGGCACGCTGGCAGAAGTCAAGCAAAGGTTCAGAGCGTGGCGCTAATGTGCCAGCAGCCTATGTAACAGGCTATGTGAAGCCGTCAGCTTTAATGTAGAGTCCTGGAGGCAGCCGACAGGGGTGCCACTGAGTGGGTGTGTGGAGGGGATTCACGGGCTACGCTTGGATGGCTTCTGCAAGACCCCGGCTTTCCTGACAGGACAAGGGATAATACACACAGCAAGAGCCTCTCACGAGTCTATTTCTGAAGCTCTCTCTCTCCCAGAGCAGACACTCTCATCCTGCAGCTGGAATGGACAGGGCTATGAAGAGCGTTATTATGCCATCTCCACTGATGCCTCTCCTGGCTTTACACTTCGGGAATTTGGCAGCAGTCTTCTCTGAAGAAGATTCTAGAAACTGGCCCCTTTCACCTAGATCTGCTTTTTGCAAGGGGTCACTCACTAATTGTTGTACTGGCATTCATTCACAGCTGACCCTCCTGTGGGCTTATGGAAGCTGTAAATTTCACAGGAGGAGAGTGCCCATCTTTTTCCTGTGGAGCACCTGATAGATTTGAACCACCTACCTTTGCACTGGAAGCCCAAGTTCTTACTACAAAGCCTCCAGAGCCCCCTCCTGCAGGTTCAAATCCTGCCAGCTATGAGTAAGGACAAACTGGAGCCGGGTTGCCCAAGCAAGTCATGCCTCAGCTTCTATCTGGTGACCTGCCTTTGGCTTTGAGTATACTAAAGACTAAAGTTTGAAGACAGGTCATGAAATGGAAAGAGGAACAAGTCTGGAGGAGATAAAGGAAGAGAAAGAGGTGAATAGATAGGGAGGGAAATGAAAAGGGAAGAAGTCAGAGTAAGAAAGCTGGAGAGAAGGGAAGTAGATTGAGGAATTTCCTCAGCTCTCATTTGCCCTGGATGCCATTACTTCTCAAGTGTGAAACAGCAGCCCTTGATCTTCAGCACCTCAGCTCCCCACTGAGCTGAGGGGGGAAATCATTCAGAACCACAACCCCACACAGGACCAGAACAGCACGGCTCTCCAGGGCTGGCCTCAGCTGAGGAGCTCGAGGTGTCCCACTCCCACAGCTCTGCATTATTCTCAGTAACTGTGCCCTCTGAGAAACCAGCCCATTGTCCTGCACACCCACGGGGATGCAAGAAAGGCTTGTCACAGGCCCCTCTGATGTGGCCGCCACAGGCAGCCATGGTGCTGCCAAGACCCTGGTGGTGGAGGAGTCTGGGGACTTGCAACTTGACTGAAGGTTAAAGACACCACTCGTTTCTGGTGGAGTGAATGCTCCGATACCCCTCTCCTCTCTAGAGCACGCAGCTCACTAACATTTACAACCCACAGGCGCTCTGTACTCTGCCACACGCTCCAGCTAACTCCTCTCTGAAAAACTGCAGAAGGGATGAGAAGGAAAATTCACACTCAAGAGGAGTGGCCTGATCTCCGGTCAGGTGGCAGGGCCATTTTCAGAAGCAGGGACCATGGAAAGTTTGGTGCTGGAGGAGTGGGGCTCAGGCTGTCTTCTCAGCCCTCCTCCCAGCCCTGCGGCCCTTACCCACGCCCGCATTGTTGAACATGCCAGGAAGCACCAGCATGATGTGGTTGGGCCAGTACTTGCGGTACAGCGGCATCTCATACTCTTTGACCACCAGGAGGTGCAGGTGGCTGGTGCCCTCCATGGCGTGGAAGAGGTTTAGGAGCCCGTGCTCATGGCGGCCGCTGGAAGGAGTGAAAATAGGGCTCTTGACTGCATTCAAATTCTGCTGAGAGAAAAGGAGAGACCAAAACAAAACCAGCGGCTAACAAAGTGGAATGGAAACGCTGAGGTAAAAGCCGTTGCCAGAACCTGTCAAGCCCCCTCAGCCCGGTCCGCAGTATTCCTCACCTTGTCGGACACCAGGGGCAGCCGCATGCTCTCCAGGTGCTTGCCCTGCTTGCTGAAGACAAAATGACTCTCTTTGGACTTGGGGATGATGAAGTAGAGCTGCACCTCCTCCCCCAGCATAGATGAGGAGAATGTGAAGGCGTGGAGGGTTGAGTCAGACATCTACGTTTGCACAAAAGAAGGGAAGAGAAGGTAAACACACAGTCTCTCAGACTCTCAGGACATGCCTTGAGGTTATGAAGAGGCAAACCATCAGGAACTTATAAATGCCACCAGAGCTTACGGCTGGAAGAGCAACACGCAAGGGTGCAAAGGCAGATCCTACATCATCTTCTTGTTATGTGCTGGTGAGCTGACTATAACTCACAGCAACCCTATGAACAATGGCTCTTTCTGGTCTATCCTGAGCCACTCTCACCATGTGACACACCTGACGCCATTGCCGCAGCCACTGAGCCAATCCATCTCATTCAGGGTCTTCCTCTCCTGCACTGACCTTCTACCTTTCCAAGCATCTTGTCCTTCTCCAAGGACTGATCTCTCCTCACCACAAGCACAAAGTATGTGAGACAGAGCTTCAAAATCCTTGCCTCCCATCCCTCTTGCCCATAAAACATCTCTGGAGAGAGAAGGGCTTGTCAGGCATTGGGTTTGCTTTCCTGATGCTTTTACAAGCAGACTACTCAGGCTAATGCGAAGGGCACATATGGTAAGGGTACATCCTCCCACCATGTAAACATCCCGAATGTCACCAATCGTAGGGGTCACTTTTGTTATATATGGGTCAGTTCAAATGCGTTCAGTATCATCTTTCTAAATAAAAGTTTGGAACCGACATTGAAATGTCCTCTTTCCTGGCTGCCAGGGAGGCCTGAAAGGCTTGGACCATCGTTCAGCCCAGGAGTCTGGCTGCAGGGACAGACCATTTGACTCGTCTCAGCCAAATATAAATCTAACCTATTTTTAAATTTGCTGAGAGGTTCACATGCTCTCTCAGCAACCTATCTCAGTGAATAATTATATAATAGGTCATTATGTGCTTTGCAAGGCAGACAGAATTTACTACCTTAATGAAGTATAAACAGTAACTGGGATTAAGGTGGGCTTCCAAAGAGGCTTAACCTAAATATTTTATTGAAGAATTATATTGCAATTTCCCCTTTAAATTCTAGTTCACTCTACTTCACAGGTGTTGAAATATACTACTTCGTACCAAAATAACATAGGTGCTAACTATATAAACAGAAAGTTTCTGAAAGAATATTTTCTCAAAACCTGTGCTTTACTGACCAAAGGACTTAAATGTTATGTATTTTGTAAAGCACTGGAAAGCACTGGGAGTTGTTCTGAAATGAGCCTACCAAAAATTTTCGATAACTCAAGAAAACAAGTGGCTATAAATGTAACTTGTATCAGAAGGGTGAATACAAGGAGGAATCGATCCAGCATTTCTACCTCTAATACTCTTTGTACTTCAAGGTGAGGCATAGGAAGAAGAAAGAGCCGTGGTCTGGAGAGCTGAAGCAGGTTTGGGAAGTCTCATCAGATGACTCGTAAGAAGGAAGAGCTGTTTCTAGGTGTGCTAAGCCAAATAATACCAATTAAGAAGATAAATTAGGGACAAGCAAATTCTCCCCTAAATGGGCACTGGACAGTACTGTCGCTTGCTGCCTGTCACCTCGTCTATGCTTCAAGATCTCCTGACCAAGAAGAAGCCAAACACATGTTATCGATACGGACTTCCATTTGGCTGTCCCTGCATCAAACGTCCACTCCTCTGCGTGTTTTACTGATCAAAGCTTTCCCAAGCTGGAGAACAGACTGACTGTAAAACCTTGACCTCCAGAACCTGTGTTACGGTGGGAACCAAGCCTGAAAGGAAAACACAACTATTTTCCACACATTAAGAAGCAAAGAAAAGTGCTAAGATTCTATCTTATCAAAGGCAGAAATCCAGTGAGGCCAGGAAGAAAGCCAAGGCTGTCCCGGTAATTCCAGGTGTCTGCTCACAGTTGTCAACCAAAACAAGGTTGGTATCAACAGACTGAACATACTCGTACCTCAGAAGGCACACACTACAAACTGGCCAATTTAATAAAACACCAAGGAAGAAAAAGACTCTTTCACCAAACAGATCATCACATTTCTGGATCACAAGCATCTCAGTGACTTTCTAGCCTAGGTGTGACCTGTAGAACCTTTCTGAGGAAGTAACTCAGAACACTGAAGCGAAGCCCTGTTTTCATTTCAAGAAGCCCTGACCTTTCTCCCAAGTCCAACAGGTCCCAAGCTATTTTAATCATTGCTTTATATATTTCACTCATTAATGGTTTCCTCTGGAGTGAGAGTTACTCTTTTCTTCAGGTCTGAATCTAGGACCTACTTTTCACCTTTCAAGCCCTTAAGTTTGGACTCACTATCACCAGTGGCCAGAAAATGAAAAGATGGCATGCTCGGGGCAAATATGCTGTCAAAGACCTCTTTAAAGTGCCAAAGAGCAGGGATGTCACCAAGGAGCGTCTGACCTAAGCTGTGCTATTTTCAGTTGCTTCATATGTGAACGTTGGACAATGAATAAGGAAGACTGAAGAACTGATGACTTTGAATCGTGGTGTTAGTGAAGTTGTTGTTAGGTGCCGTTGAAGTCGCATATGACTAATGAACCACAGATTTTAACTGTGACTTATTCCTGTGCCATCCTTGTCACACTTGAGCATCTTGCTGCAGTCAGTGTATCAATCCTTCCTGCTAAGGGACTTCCTCTTCTTTCGTAGACCCTCTACCTTTCCAAGCAAGGAACTGTGCTGCGAACTCAAAGGCAGAGCCTCTCCGGCAGACTGACTGTACCACGAGCTCCATGGAAGAAAGCTGGGCAATCTTCCTGTGCGATTTACATACTCCAAAGGCTCACTGGAGGGCCAGCTCCAAGTTACTTCCAACTGGCAATGAGTAAGGGAGTGAATGATGGATTGCCAAAAGAACAAATCTGTCATGAAGGAGGTGAAACCAGGTGTTCTTCAGAGGCAAGGATGGTGAAACTTTGCTTCACATACTTTGGCCATATTATCAGGACACATATTGCCAGTCCTTGGAAAAGGAAAGGAGGAGTGTCAGTGAGAAAGAGTAAGACCCTTAAAAAGGCCGACTGATAGAGTGACTGGAACAATGGCGTGAGCATGGCAGGCGATCCTGAGAATTGTGCAGGGCAGGGCATGGTTTTGATCTGTTGCTCTCTGGGTCACTAGAAACTAATCTACTCTACCTCACCACCACCATGACCTCCTCAGAGAGAAGGTCGGTCACAGAGACCCTGGGTGAAGGTGGGGCTGTACCTGCGAGGCGGCCGTGAAGTCCATGTACTGGTGGCACTGCTCACAGTGGTGGAAGGTGTTGTAGGCGGCGTATTTGGTCAGCATGATTGACACTATCTCTCGCTTCCTGGGCTCCTCAATTTTGGATTCCTTTGTCACTTCTGCATGAATAGGAACAAGAGAAAAAAGTATCCCATGACACACGTGCATCAGAACATTTTCTAATTATCAAAAGGGCTTTTTCAAGGATTGTGCCATTTATATCTTGAGAGGCAAATATGAAAATCAGAAGATGATTTGAGCATCTAAAAGAGAAAGAAGACAGAAACCACAGAAGACGGTGACTTAAGCGGCTCTAAAAATGTGACTGTTCTGAGCTTCCCCTCTGAGTTCCCTTCCACCTTGACCTTCAGAGAAGCAAGCCCGGCTCCACTAGCACTGACCTTGTTTGACTCCTGCCAGCTTTTCGGTATACACCAGGCTCATTTGACTGTACTTGGGATCGTGCACGCTGACGTCAAAGGGCATCTTACTGAAGCTTTCAATGTCAGGCCAGGGCTCTCCTGATGACTGGCTGACTTCACTGCTTTCACCCTGATCTAGGACGGGAAGAAAGTTTGTACAATAGTTAGTCAGACCTCCTTCTTCTCCTCTGTCCTGAGTGTCAGGGAGGTATGATAAGGTCCAGAGTGAACGAGCATCCCTGGAAAACGAGCTTCACACTTCAGGGTAGAAGGAACTGGAATGCTGCCAACATCAGTCCATGCTGAGACGGATGCTCCCCTGACTGGGATCTAGGCTTTCTTACGGACTCAGGGCACAATCTCCCACACCTGAGACCCACCGAGTCCTCACCACGCCAAGGTTCTGTAGAAATTAACTTAATTTTGTAGGATTGAAATGGCCTTATAGTTTTGAAGCTTGTGTTTTGCTTAACATATAAAGTATCCATTCTTACAGTTTTAGAAGTCAAAAGTTCAAAGTTAGTTGCACTGGGCTGAAATCAAGGTGTCAATAGGGCTGCACTGTCTAGAACAGAATATGTTTTCTTGCATTTTCCAGCTTCAAGAGCTGCATTCAGTTCATTTCTCAGTCCTTTCCTCTATCTTCATATTGTTGTTGTTGTGTACCAGAGTTGGAACTGACCCATAGCTGACTCTCTTTTTTAAAAAAATTATTATTTTAATACTAGTTTACTTACAAAATTTGAATACATTGTTTTTCAGACCAGATTCTTCCAGTTTCCCTCACCCTCCATCCATCATATTGTACAACCCCATGATTAATTCCTCCCACCCATCTTCATCCCTCTGCTTCTACCCTCTCTCCCCACTCTGGATCCTCATACTCATTCTACAATAATGGCTTTATACAATATTTGTCCTTGTGGGACTGAGTTAGTTCACTCAGCATAATACTCACCAGTCCCTCCCAAGTTAGGTAATAATTTACAAAATCACTGTTCCTGCGTACGGTGTAGTAATCCATTGTGTGAGTATACCATAATTTCTCAATCCATTAGATTATGGTTGGACATCTGGACTGTTTCCATGTTCTTGTGATGGTGAATAATGCTGCTATGAACATTGGTGGAGAAGTCTCTGTTTCTGCTTCAGTTCTCACTTCCTCAAGGGCATGTTCCAAGCAGTGGAATAGCTGGGTCATATGGAATTTCTATGTTCAGCTTTTTGAGGAAGCACCACACTGCCTTCCGGAATGGTTGTACCATTGTACAATCCCACCAACAATGTACAAGAGTTCCTATCTCAGGGTGCTCTGGTGGCCTAGTCGCAAGAAGCTGCATTGCAACCCCAGAAGTAAGTGGTTCAAATCCACCAGATTCTCTGCTGGAGAAGGAGGGCAATATCCTCCTGTACCAATCAGATTTGATTTGATGGTGTACACACACACACACACACACACACACACACACACACACACACAACACTTAAAAAATAAAAAGAGTTCCTATCTCACCACATCCTCTTCAACATTTATTACTTGCTGCTCTGTTAAGCTTTTCCAGTGGGTTTTTAGAGGCACTTAATTGGATAGGAGGAGACTGCCCATCCTTGTTCTGCAGAGCAGTTGGTGGCCTTGAACTGTGTGCCTTTGGGATTGTAGCACAGCTTCTTGCCACTAGGCCACCAGAGCTCCCTAGACATTAATCTAAATTACTGTTTGGTTTGAAGAGAGTTAGCAAGGGAGAGGATGATTCTCAATGAGACAGACTGACTCAGTGACTACAGTAATGGGCTCAAGTATGTCTGAGATGGTGGGGACGGTGCAAGATACGGACAGGGTTCAGATATGCTTTTCCTAAGATCACTACGAATTGTACTCAACTAGATGGTACCTAACAACAACAATGACACTGTGTTTAAAGCCTCAGCTGGGCTGCTAACCAAATGGTTAATTGTGGGTTGCCAAATTTCAAACTAAAATTTAATGATAAACCAAATGCTATGACAGGATATGAGGGACACATAGATACAAGCTGGGATTCTGCCTGAAGAGCCAAGGCAGACCTTAGCTATTCACAGGGGTTATGTGACAAGACAGACCTTAGACGTTTTCACAATTCTTGGATTGTATTTACTAACCTCTCCCTCCTGAGTAAAGCATAAGGTTTTCAATAGAAAGTGATTAGCTTCATTTGCACAGAATTCTTTGTGATTTACTCCCTAGAAATTTTCAATAAAGGCACAAGGAAGCTGGGTTCAGCGCTTTAGTTCTTTTAGCTGTTCACCTCCTACTTTACACTCTATTTTCTCCTCCATTCTTGGTGTCCCATTTGGTCTTTTATTCTTTACCCTCGGTCAACAACAGCTAATGGTTTGAACTCCCAATGACTTCATGAGAGAAAGCTGCAACAGGGCCACTTCCACAACTCTGACAGCCTTGGAACCCTCTGGGGGAGTGCTACTTTGTCCTGGAAGGTCACTCACTGTCAGTCACAATGGATTCAACAAAAACAGGTTATTATTTGGTTTAAAGAAGACTTCAGGGGGTAATTTTGCTTTAAGGTTCAAAGTTTTTCTCAGGACAACACTTACAGAGCTTCCTCCAGCCTCAACAGCCCGAGAAGTGCTGGGCTGTATGAAGATTTTAAATTCTAGTCTCCGTTTTCTCCTCTCTTATGAAGACTATTCTACAGAATCTTTGCTCCAACACTCAGTAGGAAGCAGGGCACCATCTGGTTCTGCTGGTGTCCTGAACCATTTTGCCTTTTATCCCATCTCCTTCTATTTCCGATTCTCCTCCTTCATTCGCTCAACAGTGACCAGCCATGGGTGGCTGCTTGCAAGCTATTAATACTACCCCAGGGACTGTGCAGGAGCTAGAAGGGAGAACAGAAATCCCAATCATGTGGTTAGATTCTTTAACCAAGATAACTCACGAAACTATGACTCTAAATCTCCAGGCGAAGAAACCAAGGCCCATGAGGTGTTTACCTGCACATAAGCTGCTTCAGCAGTGGTGTCTCTCTCTCTCCCTCACATTTTTTATAACATTAATTACATTACTTGGTTTTTGTTTGTTTGCACAAGCAGAATTTCATTTTACTCAGAAATTTCTATTTTATTATGAAGTAGAGATAATTTGGTCCCATTCACCAGATTCTGTGGTTGAAATAGGAGATATACTCTGGCTAATGAACAGAGAAGGAAGCTCTGGTGGCTTAGTGGAAAGGGGGTGCACTGTTGGCCAAAGATAGCTGGTTCAAGTCTACCAGCTGCTCTACAGTAGAAAATGCGCAGTCTCCTCCCATGCAATTCACTACCTCTGAAACCCACTGGAGGGTCAGCTATGAGTCAGACTGGACTCAACAGTACACAACAAACAAAACTAAACCCACAGAAGACTAGAACCAGCCAGAAGATGAACTACATCTTGAACCCTAAGAACTTCTGGTTGACCACATCACAAAACCAGGTTTTACTAATTATCCAGGTCATTAGCCTACCTAGCAAGCTTTCATAAAATGCCCCTTTGCCCAGCGTCCTCCCCTGCACACTATGAAAAGTGAGAGTCTAAAGAAGTAAAATACTCTGTTCCTGACCTCCAGGAACTGGAAAAACTAGCCACAATACACTTAGAACCATCTGCTGGGCACGTTCTCTTTAATCCTCAAAGACCTGCACAGGGTGGGAGCCATGTGGACCAGCTGTGGACCAGCCGGTAGGAGTCATGTGGACCGCTTGGAAGGCACACTCCCTGCGGGGGTGGGTGCAGGGTCACCCATTCCAACACTCACCACTGTTGATCTCCTCCTCGTCATACACATCCACCTCCAGGAGTCTGATGAGCATGCGGAAGAGGATCCTAAGGAACTGCAAGTAGGAGCCAGTCTTTCCCACCTGATGGGAAGGTTTGTAAGTGCGGAGGAGGAGGAAGAGAGAGAAAAGAAGAGGTTCACACCTTGACTTGCTGATGTTGCCTCCTGTCTGCACGCCCAGTCAGAGGTTCTGTAAGTGAGCCCCATGTCACCCCAGGGGGCCCCTGCTGGGCCAGTCACAGCCCTTCCCTACCTGGGGGGGCCCTGTGAGCAGCAGGCGCCGGGGGTGGAAGCTGCAGGCACCCGAGGTGGCATCGGGCTGATTGCTGACGTCTGCGTGGTGCTGTCGGGCCGCTGTCCACTGGCGGTAGTAGAGAGACTGCTCCTCGCTGCTCATGTCCTTGTGCAGCGGTGGCCGCAGCGGGCTCACCCAGGCCACGTCGGGGTGGGGCAGCAGGGTGGACGCGGCCGGCAGCTTGTCGCCCTTCTGCGGGCTCAGGAGGTTGTAGGCTGCTTTGGATAGTATCACGACTGGAGGCAGGGACATGGGCTGGCCCCTGCTGCCCCGAACCAGCTGCCCAGGCAACGAGAAGGCTTGGGGTCCAGAAGAGGATGAGGAAGGCTTGGGGGTGGTGCTGCTGGCCATGTGGGGGCCCAGCGAGTCACACTCCTGTTTCAGCATCTCTCCAGCTGCCATGGTGCCCATGGAGACCCCTTCATCGAGCCCTCCGCTGGTGGATGGGCTCTGGAAGCTGGGGGTCACGGGCTGCTTCTGGGACTTGTCGGCAGTGCTAGATGAGCTCACCCCGTTCTCCATGATGGAGCCTGGGAGGGGGAAGACAGGGAACCCACCTGTGAATGAGGTGCAGGTATGCTCCCTGGGGCTCCAGGCATCTGCCAGGGGAGGAGGTGAGGTCAGAGATGCAGGGGAGAGGCCTGGCTCTGCTCTCCAGGCTGCTTGAGGGGATGTGGGCACAGTGGACCTACACAACCGATTACTGCCCCAGGGAACCTTCAGAATCCAAGTAGTTGTTGTTGTGTACCATGGAGTTGGAACTGGCCCATAGCTGGCCCTCTGGTGGGTTTTCAGAGGCAGTAAATTGCATGGGAGGAGACTGCCTGTCTTTTGCCTACAGATTAGCTGTTGGCTTCGGAATACATGCCTTTAAGATTGCAGCACAGCTTCTTACCACTAAGCCACCAGAGCTCTTTTATCTAAAGAGTTGCTATTATGTACCACTGATCCTCCAGTGGGTTTTCAGAGGTAGTTAATTGCACAGAAGGAGACTGCTCATCCTTCTTCCAAGGAGCAGCTGGTGGATTTGAACTGTGTACCTTTGCTTTGGTAGCACAGTTCTTTACCACTACGGCATCAGAGCTCCCTTACTGAAGCAGCAGTCGTTACATATTTAGGAAAATTATCCATCCATTCATTCAATCATTTTGTGCCAGGTATTATGCTTACATTAATAGCACGCATTTACAACGTTAGGTCCCAGGAGAAAAACAGGGCCTTTGAGCAAAGTTTAGATGCATGTGTTGCTGCTCTGTGATAAGTCGGACCCAACTGAGAGCTGGCCTTCCGGTGGGTTTTCAGAGACTCTAAATTGCACTGGAGGACATCCCCAGCTTTCTCCTGCGGAGCAGCTGGGGGATTAGAGCTGCTTGTCTCTGGTCTGGAAGCACAAGGCCTTCCCCCTGAGCCACCAGCGCCCTGTCAAATGCACAATTACCTTGAGGTAATTAAAGATGACAGGGACTGAGGAAGTGGCGCAGGCTGGGCTAGTGAAGTGTAGTCAAGTATGCAGCCCATTCTCAAGCTCTATGAATGATTAAATTGTGTGGCCATCACATTGTCCAGGCATCTCTCTAAGAGAACTGACTGCAAAGGCCTTCCATGGCGGCACTACTCTGAAGGCTACTCAGAGGACTTGACCTTGCTCAGAGACATCTCTGGCTCCGCCCACTCCTCACCTCCCCACTCTTGTCCCTTGGTCTCTTGACAGAGAAAAGGCAGTGCTCACCAGAGGTTGCAGTGACCGCACTGCTGCTGCTCTGGGGCCTCTCCAGGTCGATCAGCAGCTCATCCGAGTCGTTCCCGCTAAGGTCCAGGGCAACCGTAGGCCCCCGGACGACCTCTTTTGAGACATAGCAGCAGGCCAACCCCAGCTCCTGCTCCAAGGCTGTGCGTGTTAAATAGCTCAAGTCGATTAATCGGAGGTCACAGTACTTCAAGGACCTGCACGAAAGTAGTCATGTTTTTGGTAAGCCTGTCCGACTGTCCACTGAGTGTTTAAGTATCTGGATGTATCACACAGCAGTTAAAAATCACGGTTTTCAGTGTCGGATGGACAATACCTGATACCTCAGCTCGGCTGATAGGACCCTGGGTGACTCACTTTGGCCTTTCTATGCTTCACTTGCTCCAAGTGGAGAACAGAATAGCCGTGTCGGGCTCCTATGATTATTAGAAAAATGGATGGCATGGAACTTGCAGGCTGTTTAGGCCAATGGCTGGCAAACACTTAGCACTCAGTGATGCGAGCTTTATTAACTGTGGGCCCTAGATCTTGGAGGGGCTAGGGAGCAGCAGGTTAGCAGTGGCCAAAAGGCACTGCAACAGAAAAAGAAATCTCGTGTGAGGCACTCACTCTCTTGCTTCCCTCTCCTGCTTTCTGGGGGCCCTCACAGACATTTCTCAAATGGATACACATGCCAATCCAAAAATTGTGGAGTGATCTCTGGAAAGCCAAAGGCGAAGAATTGGGGGAAGGCTCCATTTTTCACTTAGTCCTGGGTGGGACCAGTGGTTAAGGGCAATGCTGTAGCTGAAAAGTTGGAGTTTTGAACACCCTGAGGCCTTCTGGAAGACTGGTTTGAATATCTGCTTCTGAAAGGTCACAGCCTTGAAAAGCTAAGGGGCAGTTTTACTCAAACATGTGGAGTCTCCAAGAATCAGGATCTACTCAGTGGCTGCTAGCAGTATTTCTATATTCCTTTCTAGAACACTTCTTAACCCCTATGTGCTAAATAAAACGGTTACGCTCAACTACTTATTCAAACAGTACCTGGGAAAGGATTCTCCAAGTGGATCTTTGCCAGTTAATATGACAATGCAAGGCAGGCCCTCCAAATCCTGGTATGTCCGCGGGACCCAATCTTCTTGTTCATTTCTTCTCCAAGCCTTGTGGAAAGAGATTCACAGAATTCAATTGAAACTCTAATAAGTTTCCACCTCGGTAAAGATTTTCTAGGTCTAGATTTTACACCTTAACTATTACTGAAAAAAGCATGCACAAGGCACTTATTGAAGACCATGGCCTGTAGTTTTTACCAGGGCAGGCTAAACAGGAAGATCTGGGTAGACATCATGCATGAATGGTGTGGGCCAAAGGAACACACGATGTGACACACCCCAAGAGTGGTATGTCCTTATCAGATCTTAGCTCAATTACCTGACTCAGGCACTAAATATTTTCTTCAGGTGATCTGCACA